GTGACCGCTCCCGCCACCGGCCACCAGTCTTCGCTTTCGAGCGTGTCCAGCGCCGCCGCCCTCGGCCGCATCCTCGAGGGCAAACAGAGGCTCTGCCTTAGGGTCGTCCCGGCTCTGCCACACCACACGCGGGTGGTCCCACCCGCGGGGCTCGGGTCGTACCCGCACGAGGGCCGAGCTTCCCTCGCCCGGGGTCGGAACCGGCTGTTCCACAGCACCGGCCACCTCGCCGTCGGCCATCTCCCGTGCTCGGGAAACATCGTCGGAGGAGATCGGAAGGACCTCTACCTCCCGGGCGCTCCCCGGCAACAACAGCAGGCCTTGAACCAGGGGTGCCACCAAGGCTTCCGCCGCCTTCATCTCCACTTCCTGGGTCGACGGCCTCGCCACCACTACACCGGCCTCGGTGGTCCCATGGGCTCCGACCCCCGCCATCGTGGCCTCGATGGGCGCGGGGGCTTCGACCTCATTGCTGCCCTCTGTCCGGTTGCCTCGGCCTCGAGACCTGCAAGGCCTCGACCTCGGTGGCCTCGGCAACCGAGGACACCCAACCACATTGACTCACGGCCCTCGCCTTGGTGGGGAGGCGCCCCCCCCCGGTGTGTCGGGTAGCCTCGACAGCCCCTCCTTGGGAGACCGACTCAGTCAGGCCGGCTCTCGTCGACGCCACGCCGTGTCATATGGCGGCTTGTGCCCCTACCACCCAATGGGCGGTGGAGCCAGGGGTCACCTTGAGCGCCTTAAAGCAAAGACTAAGGAAGGCACCTCCATAAAGTCGCTTTCGGCTAAAAACATAATACTTACAGTCGGTCAAGAGACGAGAGGAGCAGAACAAAAAACACTACGGCGCCACCTAAAATGCGCTTACATTCTCCACCGGGCAAGCAACCGCCTTTAAGACGGCGACCCTCGTCTCGTCTGCAAAGCGGCGGCGGTGGCGGGCACGCATCGACCGCCATATCCATCGGCGCCGCCGGTCCTCGACGGACCCGGCGCCCCTCGGTGCTCTGCGGGAGCGGTTTATCTACTCGCCACCACTTGCACCACCGCTGCCGTCGAGCCCACCGGGCTGACGGCACGCTTGCCCAATGCCCGCTCCTCGGGTGTGTCGGCCTCAGCCCCGAGGCGGGCAATCGCCGACCCCGAGGCGGCTCCTCCTCCTCCTCCTAGGAGCGTCGGGCTACTTGCCAATGCCCCGGGCGACGTCTCCTCAACATCAGGGAGATGGTCCAGGCGATCCCGCCCCCTCTCGCCCTCGTCATCTCCGTCCGAGGCGTCCGTCGATAGTGACGGCGACGGGGACTCCTCCAGCAGAAGGCCGCCCCTCCTTTGCTGCCGACGACGCTCATCTAGTTTCTCGCGTGCAAGAATCTGCTTCGTGCGCTTGGCCGCCTTGGCGTCCTTCCGTTTTTTCTGCTCCTCGGCGTGCGCCCGGTTGATCGCTCGCCGCCTCGCGTCCTCGGGAACGGGCGGCGGGGAGGCTCGCACGTCCCTCATCCCCTGCAGGAACGGCGAACGCGCATAAGGGAACGAGAAATAATGAGAAACGGGGAGAGCTCGGGGATGCAATGCACGACTTACCAAATGAGAGATACCCCGCTGACGGACGCGATCGCGAGGGTGGTCGACCCACCGCTCTGCGGCTTTGCCTCCACCGTCTCCCTCACCCGGTGAAAAATTTCCTCGTTAGAAAGGGCGGAGGCAGACAGCCGGATGCCCTCGATCGAATCGTCCGGCCTCTTCTCGAATAGGCACCGCCGCCGAGCCATCAACGGCAGCACCCTCCGGCTGTGGAAGGCGGCCACGACCACAGTCGCAGTAAGGTGGCGGTCCCGCAGCCTCTGCAGCCCCTCCAGGAGCAGCTGCAGCTTGGGCTGATCATCCCTCGGGACGCCATACTTCCACCGCTCCGGGCAGCTCCCCACAATCCGCCCAGTGTAGGGGGGAAGTCCGCCGTCGTCGTTGCGAAGGTAGAACCAGCTCGTGTACCATCGACGGTTGGATGACGCGAAATGGGCCGGATGTAGAGGTGTCGACGATCCCGGCGCGCACTTGGAGAGTGCAGCCGCCCCCTCACCGCCTTCCTCGTGCCCGACGTGCCCGCCGGCTTGGTGGTATGCCCCGCCTAGAAGAGATGGAGCCACAACTCCCAGTGGGGAGCAATCCCCAGATACCCCTCGTAGACAGCGACGAAGATAGCCGCCTGCGCGATAGAATTGGGGTTGAAGTTGTGGAGCTCCACGCCATAGTAGTGCGGGAGCGCCCGCATGAATCGGTCCACAGGAACGCCGAGGCCGCGCTCGTGAAAGAACACGAAGCTCACGACGTAACCGTCGTGAGGCCTCGGCTCCGGCTCGCCCAACGGAGCGATCCATTCCGGCCTGTTGGGGTCGGTCACTGGGCGAAGGAGCCCGCCGTCGACGAGCGACTGAAGCATCTCCACGGTGACGTCGGATGGATCCCAAGGGTCCGCCTCGATGACAACAATGTCGCCGGCCATGAGTGCGGTCGAGGGCTCGACTACGACGGTGAGTCTCTCTCTCTCTCTCTCTGCCTCGCCTCTTTCCTTTCTTCCTCCCGGGGCTCTCTGCTCTGGCGATGGCTCAAAGACGGCAAAGCTAATACGGGCAAGGTAAGGAGGGGAGGAGCGAGGCTCGTTGCATATTTATGCAGGGTGAAGGCGAAACGGACAGGCGATGAAATCAGGGAAGTTTCCCTCAGATCCGGCGCGGTTAATCCTGATCCGATTTTACCGCCCGTGTGCCCACCTTTTCCTCATTAATCGCGAGAACAGTTACGTCCCATCCGCTGACGCCACGTCACATCCAACCGCTGCAGCAGCAGGCGTCGTTCCGCCTCCCCTAGGAAATTGCCTAAAAAGGCGCGCCGGCCGTTGTCGAACCGATGGGGGAAATATCCCCCCACCTTATTCCTTTCAGGTGAAGGAACCGGACGCCAAGCCCATTACGGTCCAGGGGTTCGAAGGCTGGGCCCCTAAGGGTTTCGACAGCCGCCCCAGGGCAACAGAGTCAGGGGCGACCGCGGGCGAGCCCGTACATGGCCGAGACCCAAGCAAGCGAAACGCTTGGGATGCCCAAAGTCGCGTCCGAGACCAGCAGGGAGTTCTCCGAATGGGATCCCACCGTAGGGAGGCACCGAGCCCCCGGGGCCAATCGAACGGCCCTAGGACCCAATAGAGAAGCCCTCTGGTACTTTTGGAGTGCGTCTCCGGACCGCTAGCCGACCCTTATCGAATGGGGCACGGGCCTCCACTTAGACTTACCCGATAGCAGCTCCCCGAAAGTGTCACCGCTCGCGCCCACCAAGGGTAGCCTGGCATATTCCACCCCTCCTTCCGAACGAAAAAGAAGCGCGAGGGTCGTATAAAAAAGCCAGGGGGAACCCCTGACGAACCTCCCCGCAGAGGCTAAGGGGCTCTCCCTGCAACTTTGCCGAGACCCAGCGACCCAGGTTCGCACTCAAGGGGGCTCGGCAAACAAACCCCTCCTTCCGAACAAAAAGGTTGCGCGAAGGTCGTGCAAAAAGCCATGGAATCACCTAACGGCCCTCTTGCTCCGGGCAGAGGCTAGGGAGCTCTTCCTACAGATATGTTGAGGCCCCGCGACCCAGGCTCGCACCCGAGGGGGTCTCAGCCAACAAACTCTCACGCGCGAGAGGCGTATAAAAAGCCAGGAGAGCACCTGACGACCCTCTCGCTTCGTGCAGAGGCTAGGGGGCTCTTCCTGCAGGTTTGCCGAGACCTAGCGACCCGGGTTCGCACACGAGTGGGCTCGGCAAACAACCCCCCGTCCGAACGAAAAGGATGCGCGAGGGCTGAACAAAAAAGTCAGGGGGACCCCTGACCGCCCTCTCGCTTCGTGCGGAGGCTCGGGGGCTCCTTCTGCACCCAAGACAAGGACAAGCGACCCAAGCCCGCACTCATAGATTCGGAAAAAAGCAACAAAAAGGGCGCCGAGCCCGTTATGGTCCAAGGGTTCGAAGGCTGGACCACCGAGGGTTTCGACAGCCGCCTCAGGACAAAAGAGTCAGGGACAACTATGGGCGGGCCCGTACATGGCCGTGGCCCGAGCAAGCGATCGCTCGGGATGCCCTAAGTCGTGTCCGAGACCTAGCAGGGAGTTCTCGGAATGGGATCCCACCGTAGGGAGGCGCCGAGCCCCCGAGGCCAATCGAACGGCCCTGTGACCCAATAGAGGCCCTCTGGTACTTTTGGAGTGCGTCTCTGGACCGCTAGCCGACCCTTATCGAATGGGGTACGGGCCTCCACTCGGACTTACCCGATAGCAGCTCACTGGAAGTGTCACCGCTCGCGCCCACCGAGGGTAGACTGGCATATTCCACCCCTCCTTCCGAACAAAAAGGAAGCGTGAGGGTCGTATAAAAAAGTCAGGGGGAACCCCTGACGGACCTCCCCACAGAGGCTAAGGGCACTCACAATACAGACTCTACACATAGAGTCTTAACATCAAAGACTTCATCACAAGAAACCATGCTCCCCAATGCAAAGTTTGTAATAGTAGTTTCTAGAGATAAAAGAATTTATTATGCAGCACAAACAAAGCTGATCAGATGTGGCATACTACATGTGATCCACCCTACACCTCACTGCAGCTATCACCAGGATATTCGATCAACCGGCAATTAAACCAAACAAGCAGTATATCACTGAACACAACGCATACACTAGTGTATCGCTAGAAGCATCCAAAATCATACTCGACACAACTTCGATGGAAGTTCAGATAATAGCTAGTCATGAGTCATCCATTACAATACCAATAAGGATAGAAATATAAATACCAGTGGCATGCACCTAAACAGCCATGACAGATACCGTTGTCCATTACAATAAGAACGTAAATATAGATAGCAAAACCAAAATAATTAGATAATAGTATTTTGATAATCTCTTTCATGTCTACAGAAAACATTCCAGCATCCTCCAGATAGAAGCCATCAACACTTTCATGTCCTGACTCCTAATCATCAACCTGTAAAATAAGATGAGCTAGTAAATAAACAACTTTGTTGCAATAAAAAGAGATGGAGAGTACACTAACAGAACTATTGTAACATAGTCATATGAAAGTATTCATGTAACAGGCTAGTATATAATATATAAATTAATATTTCTACCTAATTAGTTCGATGCTCAAACTTCTGCCAAATGTGATCAATCAAATCGGATTGTAGTTGCTTGTGAGTTTCACGATCACGAATCTCGACATCTCTCTGCAGTACCTCCTCCATCACCGGATCATGTCCTTGAGTGATTGTAGATGGCTAAATAGTAGACGTGGTTGCTTCCTCATTCAAGTCGAACGAATCGTCTTCTATATCCTTCTCGTCCTCGATTATCATGTTGTGAAGTATTATACAAGCTAACATGATATTCTGAAGATCCCCCTGTTCATATAGACGTGCCGACCGACGCAAAATGGAAAAGCGAGATTGTAAGATCCCAAATGCACATTCAACATCTTTTCTTTCCCCCTCTTGATGTTCTGAAAACAGCTTCTGCTCAGCTGATTGTGGTGCACGTATGGACTTGACAAAAACAGCCCACTCTGGGTATATTCCATCTGCAAGATAATAAGCTTTGGTATATTGCCTTCCATTCACAAAGTACTGCACCTGGGGAGCTTCTCTTAACTGATCGACGAACAAAGTAGATTGACTCAGCACATTGATGTTATTGTTGGATCCGGCCACTCCAAAGAACGCATGCCATATCCATCCATCGGTCATGTGAAGCAACAGCCTCTAGAATGATGGTTGGTACACCATGATCACCACGAGTATATTGTCCCTTCCATGCATAGGGGCATTTTTCCCAATGCCAATGCATACAGTCAATGCTCCCTAACATGTTAGGAAAACCACGACGCTCACCAATCTCCAACAATCGTTCCACATCTTGCACTGTTGGGCGTCTCAAGTACTCTTCGTCGTATACTTCAATGACACCTTGAACAAACTTTTTCAAGCACTCCACACCAGTACTTTCTCCCATCTTCAAATACTCATCATGCTGGTCTGCAGAGCCGCCATATGCTAATTGACGGATTGCTACTGTGCACTTATGAATTGGTGAGAACCCGGGACGATTCAGAGCATCTGGCCTCAAGGTGAAATACTCAGACCACCCACTCAAGGCCTCAACAATCTTTAAAAAGAGGGGTCTCCTCATCCTAAATCTTCTACGAAACTGTGTCTCATTGTAGACTGGATTAGGAGAGAAGTAGTCATCCATTAGTTGCTGGCTGGCTTGTTCACGAGGCCTGTTCACATATCACCTAGGACCACTCCGAGTTCTTCCACCTTGTATGACATCAACAACCGACTGCATTTCAGCAACTAGATGATCGCCTAAATCATCTAGAATTTCTTGCTCTTGAAGATAGTCATCCATGGAGTATAAATCAGCCGGGTCGATGCTGCCATCTCCATCCATGGATTACAGAAAGGGCAGCAGTATAGCAGAAAGAGAATAGCAGATAAGAAAGGGCAACAGTATAATAGAAAGGTGTCATGGCTGTGCTGTATATATGCACATTTGTCGTGCCTATACATATTCACACTTCAATGCAAAAAAGTAGTGGATGGAGTTCACACTTGCATGCTACAAATAGTGGAGACAGTTCACACTTGCATGGTAAAAATAGTGGAGACAGTTCACACTTGCATGGTATAAATAGTGGAGAAAGTTCACACTGTAACAAAATAGCAATGATCATATAAGAATTTAAAATAGCAATGATCACAGAAAATAAAAGGATTTAAGTTACCTTAAAGGAACTACTTCCAGGGTCACATTTGTTTGCACGCAGTTGCTACTGCATAATCAATTCCAGAAAATTACAAGTCCATCAGCTACCATTTCTAGGCAATTAAATAAGCAATTGAAAAAGGGTCGACTGCGTCATACCTTCGGAAATAAAGCAAGTCTTAGGCTCTCCAGTGCCAAGTTTCTCTCAACCAAAGCATCTGCACTAAGCTGAACAGTAGGCGCAAACAGCAACTGTGTGTAAGTTTCTAACATTTTGCACTTAGTTTGTTCATGAGCTGCTTCATGATTAAGCCTAGCTGCTTCAATCTTCTTATCAGTCAAGCTTTGCTGAATTTCAGTCATCTTCTCTCTGTCCTCTCTATTCTTGCTACTTGCTTCAATGAACTTCTCAAATTTTCCACTAAAATCAGCCAAAGCATCAGGTGACTTCTTTTTGCCATTGAGTTCTTTTTTTGCTTTCTTATGTCCCATAGGTCGCTTTTCTCCATCTAATTCCAAATTCACCAATGGAGCTGGATTAGCCTTTGCACCCTTTTCCTTTTCCTTCTTTAACCTAGCAAGATATGCTGACCACTTTTGCTCACCACGTACTACCTTCCACATATGCAGCAGATGGAAGGCCTTACCATTATTTTTGCCGGCCCACATCTCTAATGCTTTGTCAGTAACCTGGTCATCACTCATCCCACTTTGCCACACTCTATTGGTATTTACCCAACATCCATGAAAATCAGTTAATGGTTTCTTAGAACGATCCCAACGTATTTTTAGTTGGTTTCGGTTCCTCTTACGGCTATTTTCTGTGTCCTTGTTGTATTCTTTAGTAACATCTGCCCAATAAGCATCCCCCCTCTTGTCATTTCTATCTATTGGGTCCTTTGAATTACGCAACCAAGCATTGGCCTACAGGAACAACAACAAAAATAGAATGAAAAAAGACAATCGTTAATCTTCAAGTGTGCATGGAGATAGCAAGGTTTCAACCTACCAGTCGTTTGTCTTCAGGGACCGACCAATTCAAACGCTTGTCGGTTCTAGAATCCTCATCGACGTTAATTGTTTCATCTTCTTCTACACCGAGTTCAACCACTATATCATCATTTTGCTGTGCTGGAGAGAGTTTTTGTAGCACCCAGGTCAATTGGTGAAATTGAAGATTGACTCATTCCACCACCAACATAGTGAAAATTTTCATTTCCACTAGGATGGTTAGCAAATGGGTTTGGCTCCAGAAGATCTGAGAACCCTCCTGGTGGGTATAACCTGCAACCATATGAATTTCCATGCTCCAATTAGTAAATCAAAAGAAAAAGGATAAATCTCGAATACATAATGATACCATTACTTAAATCTCGGAGCTGTCAGTGATTCTAGTGACTATGCAATAAGATAAATGGTCCGTTGCAACCTGTAGGTACATTTGCTAGTACACATTAAAGGCACCATTCAACTAAAGAAATCCATCTGAGCAAGTATGGCCATATGTAACCCATGGATTCAAAACTAAAATCTGTAATCGCAAAAATATCATCTCGATAGTCATGGCATAGCCAAACTAACAATATAGTTATTAGTCATATTTCTTGTGGTAAGTGAAATGTGGTCCTTTGTTCTGTGATGTGACGGGTGGCAAGTTCTCCTAGCTGGTTGTATGTTGGTTGCATTAGTGTAATCGCCAGTGAGGCTGTTTGGTTTCTGTAGCTAAGAAGTGATTGGTCCAGCAATGGAAATATAAACTAATGATCTTAGACATTCGAACCCAGTTTATTACACAGTCTGCATTTATCATTAACAAGAACAATGGCTGAAATCTGTAAAACCTACTGATTTCGAGTAAGAATTCGAGGACTGAGTTAATGTACATCCAATCCCGTCCAAGAATCCTTGACTGAAGACTACCCTTCACTAGGAGATGACATTGGCCACCATCCACCAACGGGGAAGCACTAGTTCGAGGAACACCAACATCTTGAGGAACACCGATGGCTCGAGCTGAGCTCGGTTGCAAAGCAGCTCGGCATGACGGAGCAGTGTCCCAAAGAACCTTTTACGGATGGAGGCTGGGTTCCGTGGACACCTCTGCCTCGCCGAGAATCGGTCTTTGTTAATCTATTCATTTGTGAGATTTGGGGATGCTCTTGGGTCACAAAGTGGATGGGCGAGGAGACGGAATCGAAGGAGCTATGGATGGACATGGATATGAATCTAAATGGGCGGTAGAGGAGGAAGATTAGGGTGGGAGGGCGAGGCCGAAAAATTTGGTGGCGACGGCGGGTCACCTCTCTGAGCTTGTGAGGAGAAGGCCTCGAGCTGGGAGATGGTCATGGCAGCGGGATGGCGCTGGGGAAGCCGCCACTCACGCCTGAAAGAAGGCCTGGGCCTTGAGAAAGTCGAGCAAAGCGGGATGGCTATAGAGAGAAGCTTCTTCTGCTGCGTCTGAAGAGGAATCATGGCCCGGCGGTGGGTGTGGATGGCACGGGTGTACGGGATCTATCGACTCGACACCGGCCTCCCCCATCATGAGTCTAGTGGTTTCATGCCTCGATGGGAACGAAGACTCGACGTCCAAATAGGAAACGATTTCTTGATTTTTCACCCTCTCTCTTCAATAAATATGGTGCCACATCAAGAAAATACAATAAATTGAAGGATAATAAATGCGTATGGACTCTATGTAGAGTCTGCGCTGTGAATGCCCTAAGGGGCTCTCCCTGCAACTTTGCCGAGACCCAGCGACCCAGGGTACTATCGGATACCACAAGAAGGGGTACCCTAAGTAAGAACCAAAAATGTTGCTTAAACCTTGCAAAATCAAAGCCAAAAGACTACCGCCAGTCTCTCTGCAGAAATTCTCCGATTCGCTCGAGGCCTTCTTGGCGCCGAGGCCTCATCATACGAAGGCCGAGCGCCCCACTGAGGCCTCTCTCGCCGAGACCCTCTCGCCGAGGCCTCGCCCCGAAAGGCCTCGGATGGGATGCCAATTCTCCGATTAGCTCGAGACCGGGCTCGGCAAACATACTCGTAACCTCCGTCCCGACCAAACTCCTCTGACGAAACGTCACGTCCAGATTAATCGCGCCTAACTACTCCCGCAAACGTCGGCCCCGCGACTCAGTATGGTGATGAGCGTAATCGACCGACGGGACGGGGGGCCGGCGCAGCAGTGGTTACTCGCCATCGTGCTCATCATCATGCTACCAACCCCACATGCCAAGGACAAAGCAACATAGATGGAAGGTCAAGTCCATGTCCCTCAGTAGTCTCGGAAAACCGCAGAGAGCCCAATCTGCTGTTTTCGCGCCGTCCGAGACCCCCGGCGAGGTCTCGGACGTACTATTCCTTCTCCGCCTCGGCCGAGGCCGGGCTCGTCCCGCATCCTCGCTCGTCTCCGCCTCAATCGCCCCCCTTTGGCGGGCCGTCCCATCCGTGTAAGTACCCACAGTTGCGCCTCGTCGACCCACGATTGGCGAGGCATAGCAACAGGGGCGATGGGACGTTGGTCAAATCTCTTTTTACCATTCCCCACCGACGGTGCGAGGACTACCGTGCTTTGCGGACACACGCCTGCACTTTTCCACCTAAACCGGTATGCACCGACCACCGAGACCGCCGCGCCATCGCACTCGGGTCACCTCCCAGAGCCTCGGCGGCGGCCGCCACAAACACACTGCCAGGCTCTCGCGAACCACCAAGTCAAAATTCACAAGGCACGGCATATCACCTACAGAGAGGAGGCCATGTTGACTAAACGTCAACGAGGACCCCTCGACTTCAACACCCTCGGGCATGGCGGTATGACGCACCAATGATCAAGTACCAATTGTCATTCCCGACAACAGTCTTTGCTCTGGGAATAGGCCACAATCTTCGGATCTTCCTTCCTCGCTAAGGCTCCACGTGTAGCTCTCTCATGTACTCCTGGCTCCCTCCTTGTGGCTATAAAAGGAAGCGGCCAGGGGCGTTTCTATGGATCGAGACCACGCCGCCCTCACGCACAAAAAACGCACTCACTCAATTCACGCACGCTCCATCACCGCACGAGAGCAACGACTCAAGCAGCCCGCACCACTCCACGCCGAGACACAGGACTAGCTCCTCTCTCACCCACTTTTTGTAACCCCTACTACAAGCACTTGATTGCAAAGAATACAAGATCGATCTCCTAGACTGGACGTAGGGCACCGATTGCCTGAACCAGTATAAACCTTGTGTCTCTTTGCATCACCATCCGGGATTAGGGGCACGCAGTTCACATTTACTGGTTGGTTGAGGACCCCCCGGTCCGAAACACCGACAGATAGGTAGACCCTAGCATCTGTCAAGCAGCCATTTAGCCAGGTTCTCATCTTACAGGCTGCATAGTTCTTAGGAAGGATCTGCATGGCCGAAAATCTACTGTGCTTTGCTTTGGTGACTGGTGTGGATTCGATATCATTCCCACAACTTAGAAGAAAAGAACAATCAAATGTCAACAAAGGGGCACTGCGGAAGGTAGAATCACAGGAACATACGCTGGGGTGCATTCCATATCTAGAAATATTCAGAATTCAGAAGTATCATGGAGGGCTCTGAAGCTTTGGACTGACTCAGGGCCTGAGAGGACATTCTGTTGTGCTTTCTGCTTTGCAAAGTAAGTAGCACTTAGCACAATTGTGTTGATAAAAGCTAATTCTGGAGCGAGGAGTTTGCAGCAGCATACTGCATACAAGGGATGTCCAAGAAACAGCATGGATGAACTGTAGTACTGCACAACATTTGTTCAAAGCAGGCGATGATATCGAAATCGAATAGTTTCATATTTCCCCTCCCAGAAATGTATAGTCTGAATATGAAAAGTTAATTCAGTTATGTTTAACCAATTGCAATGCACTTATTAAGCATCATTAGTTAGCTATCTGCCAAGCAGCAATTTAGCCAGGGTCTGCATATAATTAGTTCTTAGGGAGCATATGCATGGCCCAAAATCTGTGCTGCTACACTTTGGTGTGGACTCTATATATCCTTCCTATGACTTAGAAAAAAACAAATGTCTGACTGAGGGAAACGGTGGCAGGTAGAATCACAGGAATTTACACTGGGATGCATTCCATACCTAGAAATACTCACAATTCTGAAGTGTCATGGAGGGCTCTCAGGCAGTCAAGCAATGACTCAGGGCCAGAGAGGACATTCGGTTGCGCTTTGTGCTTTGCAAAGTAAGTAGCACTTGGCACAATTGTGTCGATAAAAAGTACTCTCTGATTCTGGTCTTCTGGAGAAAGGAGTTTGCAGCAGCATAATATGTGGCCAAGAAACACCATGGATGAACTGCAGTACTGCACAGCAAAAGCAGGCAATAATATCGAACAATTTCGTATTTTCCTGGACCATCATCTATACTGATCATAATTCATATTCACAACTACCTTCCTAAAATTCATTGGGTAGCATCACTGGGACATGAAAATACATGAAGCGTATGAACACGGATCAATGCGGGTGTGATGTGGTGCCGTTACTCTGCAAGATCAGCAGCCTAACCTGGGAGCCATCCAAGGTGACATCCTTCACATCCACAACGCGCGATCTCTTGAATAGTGTGGCGACGGCGGCGGTCTCGATCTCCCGGTCGAACGCGAGCGCAATGCCGCCACCGCGTCGGACGGCGCGCTCAGCCTCGCGCGCGAGGCGGGACGGGAAGAGCGCGCCGGATATCGCCGAGGGATCATCCGAAAACACAAGGTCGAAGGCGCCGTCGGAGAAGGGGAGGCGGTGGGGATCCGCGCGGTGGACGAGCGGCGAGAAGTCGACGAGGTCGATCCCCGTGGCGTCCCTGGTCCCCGACGCACGGAGCGCGTCGACGGCGTGTCCGGCGCCCGCGGCGAGGCAGAGGACGCGGGAAGGGGCCGCGAGGAGGCCGAGGCCGCGGAGCGGTGCGAAGGCGGACGTGGCCAGGGAAGCGGCACGGCGTCTCCAGCGAGGGGAGGCGCGGAGCTTAGCGAGGCGGCGGTCGGGCGGGACCACCCGGCGCGAGGCGGCGTCGCAAGAGGTGCGGGGGAAGGGGCCGAGCGAGATGGTGAGCGCAACGGGGTCGGACGCGGAGAAGCAGTACATGGATGCGTGGCGCAAGAGGTGTAAGAGTGAGAGCGTGGCGATGGCGGCCAGTGCTACGGAGACGCGCGAGACCAGCCGCACCGCGTGCCGGTCAATCGCCGGCGGCGAGCGCGCGGCGGAGGCGGCCATAGATTGGATCGTCCTCCTCAGTCCTGAACTCCTCATTACGGGCTGATAGGGAGTTGAATAATCCGGAGGAGCCAGAACGTTGGGCCCAATGTTTGGGCCTTCTGTAGAGATGGCTTAGATCTGACGTCTCGATTACAATCGGAAATACTGTGACTCAAACATCCCATGCAATCGGAAATACTGTGACTCAAACGTCCCATGGTCCGGACGCGACTGAGCGCCCCCCGAGCCGCGAAGCAAAGCGACGCCCCCCCCCCGCTCCTTATCCGTTCGGTTCCCATCCCGTCCTCGTGACCTCCCTCGCCCACTCTCTCTTCACTCACTCGCTCCCCCTCTCCTCTTCTCCGCACTGTTGCGCTCGCTGCTGCTCTCTGGGACGGACGCCATGCTCGCGTCCAACTCACTGTCGTGCCCACCTGTTCGCGCTCCCTTCCTCCCTCCCTTTCTCCCTCCGTGACCTCCATGCCACCGGAGAGGAGGATGACGGCGGCGGCTTCCGGTGAGCCGGCCCTCCCTCCCTCCGTGACCTAAATGCAACCGGGGAGGAGGGCGACGGCGGCGACTTCCGACGAGGTAGGTGGGTCCTTCTCTGGATTTGAGCCCCCCTCCTCATCCTCATCTGGATTTGAGCTCTCCTCCTTCTTCTCCTCCTTCTTCTCCTCCTCCTCCTCTGGATCTGGATCTGAGGGACATGGCGGTGGCTAGAGTTCCGGCGAGCTCTGTTGCAGTAGGCTTGCTTTGCTGTTGTAATAAGTAATATTTCTTTGTTGCATTAGTTTTTTTTCCGATATTGCATCTCGCATTGAGCTTTTTGTTTCTATTGTTGCAGTAGCGTCGTTTTGCTGTTGCAACAAGCAATATTTCTTTGTTGCATTAGTTTTTTTCCCTGATATTGCATCTCGCATTGCGTTTTTTGTTTCTGTTGTTGCAGTAGCGTTGTTTTGCTGTTGCAACAAGTATTTTTTCTATGTTGCATTAGTCTTTTTTCTAATGTTGCATCTCGCACTGCGGTTTTGTTTTCTGTTGTTGCAGTAGCTTTGGTTTGCTGTTGCAACAAGTAAATTTTCTTTGTTGCATTAGTCTTTTTTTTCCTGATGTTGTATCTCGCATTGCGCTTTGTTTCTGTTGTTGCAGTAGCTTTTATTTGCTGTTGCAACAAGTAACTTTTTTTTTTGCATTAGTATTTTTTTTCTGATGTTGCATCTTGTATTGCAGTAACTTTGTTGTGTTGTTATAGTCGCTCTTGTTCCGATGTTACAGTAGATTTATTTTGATGTTTCACCTCGCATTGCGCTTTGTTTGATGTTGCAAACAATTTTCTGATGGGATTGCGTTGGGGGGGGCGAGGTTGGGGCGGATGGGAAATCCATTCTATTCGGATCCGTTCCGTGCGCGGGGGGCAGGCGAGGTTGGGGGCGGGTGGGGTCCGTGCGCGGGGAGCGGAGGAAGGGCGGTTCCGATTGCTATTTCAATTCCATGCAGGCGGGCGTGATTCCGTGCGGAAAGGGTGAGGTGCGGTACGAAGGTCCCGGCGTCCGGACGCTAGCGCCTGGATCGAACGTCCGTGCGCTAGCAGTTCCCGATTACAATGCCAGTCTCGACTTCAACGAGAATTCTATATGACATAGGATCAATAAAAAAGATATATAATAAAAGTTTTATGGAATAAAATGAGTTTCATGTGGTTGAAACTTGTCTATACCTTTTTCAACATATGTGAGTCATATGGAAACAGTGACATCAAACCTCCATCGATACTGGCCTAATGAACTCACGAAAAGTAATTGATCCATAGATTCGCCGATGCACATGTGTGAGAAGCGCGCGAGCAGCACAACATAGATTGTTTAGCTTTTTTACTTCACAAAAAGTTAGTCACAAGTAGAAACAAGTATAGTTAGAAGATATCCATCAATGATACGGTACAATGACATTGGGCAATAGGCATGAGATTAACAGGTTACTGGCATCAATTATGGTTCCACAATTTGTTTAAAAAAGCTTAAGATGGAGCGACAATGGGTTCGACCAACAAATTCTTGATGCAGTAGCGAATCTAGTAGATATGAACATCATTGTGATGAATCTGACGATGTTTAGGATTGGGAAATGGGAAGGCAGCTGGAGACCTTCAAGAGATGGTACAGGCTAATCCAAAATTTTAATTTGCAAAAGGTCCAAAATTAAGGAGAGTCTTAGGCTCCTTTGATTTAGCTTCGGCAAAAATTGCACAACCTTAGAAGAGGAGAGAAAAAAAATAGTTTTCAGAGCTCATGAAGAGAGATCATTACAATAAAAATAAATTAAAAAAACATTCACAATTATTATATAAAAATCTTAAATAGTGGTACCCTTACTATACGAGTGAGTTGGCTTGCCCGTTACAAAATAATTCATATGTTCTAAAGTAAGATGTTTTTACTTTTCTAGATATATTAATTATTTTTTCTGTCAACGGGGGAAAGACTCCTCACCTGATTTTGTATTAATTCATTGATCAAATACATTAATTTTTACTATGCATGAAAAAAACTCGAGACATGGGGGAGAGACGTCCCCACGGTGTTTTATTAAGAAGATGAACTTCTCACGTAGCTCGAGAAAATTCCTGAACCCTGGCCCCACCCATATACAACGACACATGCATCCCGTGAGAAGAGACTGGTGCCACCATAGCCATCTAACCTGTATATGTCTAAAAAAAGGCAAAACATCATGTAATTTGGAATGGATGGAGTATTATTTTGTGAAAGGAGTTACTTGATACAACTCGATAAGTTCGTGGCACTTCTACATGTTACAAGAGTTCTTGGCTACTCTTAGAGGTCTGGTCCGTTCTTTTACCGTGACCATGGACGCACGAAAACGACTGAAGTTCTCATGACTGTTTATTTTTATGTTACTTCTTTGATGATCCTTTTCGAGCTAATCAGCAGTCTAGCCTTCATCTCATGCCATGGTGATGGTGGCATTGGCATGCATCCTAAGCAGCAGTTTTGATCACTAATGGAGATGGCTAAACTTAGTTGGGCGTCCAGGCGCCGGTGTACACGGCGCCATGGCCCTTCCAGGTGAGCACAAGCATGTCCTCCTCCCGCTTCACGCCCCACCCGGTCGCGTGCTCGCTCAGAAGGCGCCTCACCTCGCCCGCCGCCTCCTCGTCGAACCCGACGCTCGCGAACCCGTTCCTCCGCATCCGCTCGGCGAGCCTCGCGCCGGACTCGGAGCGCTCCGCTCCGTCGGCGTCGTCGGCCCCGACGACGCTCTCGATCTTCCAGCCCACGGCCGCCTCGTGCTCAACCCGCCGCGGGCTGTCCCTGGGCGCCGACGTGTCCAGGGCGTCGAACAGGATCCAGTGGAAGTCAAAGCAGCCCGCAATGCGGGTGGCCAGGCTCGGTGAGTCCAGGTCCGCGTCCTCGTCGGTCACGGTGACCAGGCACGGGTTCAGCGCGCGGACGGCGTCGAGGAACGCGTCCCTGGAACCCGGCGCGACGTGGCGGAGCCAGCTCTGGCAGTTGACGACGAGCGCCTCGCCGTCCCGTAGCCCCAGCGACTGCCGGTCGGACAGCACGGACGCGAGGTCTTGGCAGAGCGCCACCTGCTTCTTTGGAGGCGACGACGTCGGGCTTGGGCTCGGGCTCCCGCACTTGACGACGCTGAACTCCAGCTGCACGCCTTTGGACTTGGCGAAGTTGGCCAGGCGGAGGCCGATCTCCTCGTCCGACACGCCGAGCTGGGGCGGCACGGCGGGGCGGGCGGAAGGCACGGTGATGCGGAGAGCCGGCGGCCCCCGGGCCGCTTCGAGAGCATGTCGATGAGCGTCGGCCACTGCATGCAGCGTGTGACGCTGAGGTCGACGACGTGCACCGCGGCGCTGCCCGCCACCGCCCGGAGGATGGCGCCGTTGGAGGCCGTGAAGCCGAAGCGGTGCCACGGCGTGAGGTCGACATACTCGGCGAGCTCCGTGACCGACATGGCCCGCTCCCGCGGCGCGGGCGCACTGGCGGCGGCGGCCTGGGCAGCGCCGGCCGGGACGCACAGGCGGCACGCGCGCGCGACCAGCGCGCGGAGCAGCCACGACGTGAGGCGCTGGCTGGGGTCCCCCTGCGAGAAGGCGATGTTGTTGAGCACCCACATGGCCTGCTGCGCCAGCGTGGCGTCGTTGGACTCGAGCGCCGCGGCGCAGTGGAGGAGCAGCTGCTGGATGCGCGGGCCGTCGATGAGCGCGCGAGAGAAGCAGACAGAGCTGTGCGCCCTGAGGTTGCCGCCGCCGCCGGTCCACAGCTCCTGCTCCATGCTCCGCACCACCTCGTCGTATGGACGTGCCAACGTCCTGCAGGATTTTGGGATGACAATCCAAATAGTTAGGGCTGCCTAGGATCGAGACACTTGTCGGCCTCGGATTGAGTGGCTTCGGATCATTTCAGGAGATGTGGAACGAAGCAATCCCTAAGGATCGGGCTGCTAGTTGCTATTGCTGCGCTAGCTTTGGTCTTTGGTAGAAGCAGGCTAGTGCAAAGGAGACTTATGACTGAGTGAGAGAATTAGCAGGGTTGAGGTGCTTGTTGGTAGTTTTGGTTTGCTTGTTGGAATGACATGGGGCTATTTATAAGAGCTCTGTGAAAGATCCTCAGTTCATCTCCATGGGAGAGGGAATTGGATAGCAATTTGGACTCTTTCTATTGGGGTAAAGACAATCTGATTTATTCTTTTAACGCCCCTGTCTGATCGTGCCGGAACTGCAGAATATGGTATATGGAGCTGGTGACAAATTCCTCTCAACTGGATTGCAACTGACTAGTGACTACTCCTACTCAAATGAAGCTAGAAAACACTCGATACCAATGATACCGAATTTCGTTCAGACTTCAGAGTTTCAGACAGCATAGTTTTAACCAACTCTTCTTTTTGTCGTCAAACGGTTCAACGAGTTTATGACGTGTATTAGTATGTCGTTAGGCTGCAGCACCTCCTTTATTAAAACTATAATAGTTTCACGACGGTGAGAAGGCGACGGCGGAAAAGCCATAGCCGCCCGGACTCTTTTGGCCGTTCAGAGCAACGGACGAAGAAGTTTGAATAAACTTACCTCACCTTGTCATTCTCCGGACCCCATTTTCTATGCCGGAGGGCGGGCGCTCCGAGAACCGAACAAGCAAGCAGGCCAATTCTAAAGGAGGTAAAATCCACACGAGCGGGCATCTCCGGGCGCTGACGAAGAACATGTTGTTCTCGTCACTCCGGGAGCCCTGATTGGAACATAATTGGGGTGTGCCTGTCGCGACGCCTTGTCTTCTTGCCGTTGATCTTGACAAGCGATTGGGTGGGCGAGAGAGGGGAAACTACATGGAATTCAGCCTCCGATCCATCCGACGATCCTCCGGCGCCACGTGTGCGCTGCTCGTGTCGTGCTCTTGCGTGCATGCCTTCATTGGTCAGTCGTCAGTCAAGATCAGTCAAAGATACCTTGCAGCAATGAGCTGCTGGCGATGCGCATGGAAGGGACAAGGAATTGTGAAGAACACCTGTCGACTGCTGGACCACACCAGCGCGAACTGTAATGCATTCGAGTACGATAATAGGATCGCGGAAAGATGTCTGCACTGAAACAAATAATGTCTGTTCTTCTTGGTGGAAAGGGAAGCAAATGTCTGTTATTCTGTTATAGAGCTGCCTGGGGCACACAGAAAGATGTTTATTTTACAACAGACCGTGATCAATCACTGAAATATGTTTGGCTAATGATTTCTCTGAAGAATATCCTGACTAACCGAAAGCGCCGGCCTTCCGGCAGAGCTCTGATGCTCATGTGCCTGATTGGGGGATAAAAGCGACGCGGGTGATAGAGAGCCTTCAGGCCGAAAGAAACGGGAGAATCTGAATCCGCCTTTCGGAAAGCCGCGACCTGTGAATTTATATATATTCATGAATTCATCTATCTATCTATCGATCCCGGAATCATCTATACGTTTATGGTCTCGATGCCGGATTTGAAGGACGGATGACCAAAGGCGACAGTGACACTGCCAATTAGCTAGCCATTTCAACAGTTGGCACTGAAGAACATATTACATACATCGTTTTTCAGGGACACTGCACGCATTAAGGCACATGCAACATGCTGCGATGATCTTTAGTTTGCTCCCTTCTCTGCGTGCTCCGTATCTTGCAACTTTTTAATATCACGAAGATTATGCCGTCGTTTTCCATTTTTGCCGACTGTTCGAAGAATAATGCTGTCCTCCAATGGGGGCGGAGAGGTTCGGATTCTCGGCGTCAGGCCGTGGCGTGGTGGGCATCATCATCGGCGGTCTTGGGAACCTTTATCTCCAGGGACCCCTCGCCGTCGTCAAAGTATGCCTCCACTTTCCTCCACTCCGCGTCCTCCGGCAGCTCCACCCGCCGGACGAAGCCGTGCTCCCACCACCAGCTGGCGCGCCAGTCCCGGCCGTCCGCCGGCGGTAGTGCCCGCCACAGCCCGCTGATGTCGATCACCTTCATCTCGTCCCCGCTCACCTCCACGTCGCATCTCCTTCCACCTGAATAAAGACCGAGAGGGCGAAATAAACAAATCCATCTTTTTGACCTAGAACGACGCTGGTTTCTTGATCTTGGCAATCGTCTCAAACACTCTTTGCTATGCACTGGCATTTCTAGCTACGCTTTCACCACGGTCCACGATGATCGATGTGATGCGGTGTGCCGCACGCAAACGCAACGAATATTTCTTGCGAGAAAAGCAGTATTCTTAACGTTGCTGTAAACGATAAAGCAAAGGGAAGCTAGTGGGGAAAAGGAGGATGCACACATGACTTATGGTTGCTTTCATCCTCTAGCTCTAGCTCTAGCTACTACTAATTGCAAAAGATCTCTCTGGACTGGAAAACATTAAGCATCTGAATACTGAAGCGTGGATGGACGGCACACTACTGCCAATGCGATCGATTTACTGTCACGCTGGATCAGTAACGCATTAGCTGGTGGCACACGCAAGACCACAAGTAGCAACTATACGGAACCGATGCCGCATAATATCACAAAGATCTAAATCTAACCTACAACAGCTAAATGGAAATAATCTCACATCAGTTTATAATCTCAACTTTTTCAAAGGAATATTGAACATTGATGTTTGTTTCTATGCAGTGTTCTAAGACCATTTCTAGGATCGCACAGGCACAACCAAGTGAAAAGCATGGAGCTAGCAGCGATCGTAATTCGTACCTGGTATGTCAGCTCTGAGGTAGTACTCGGAGTCGGTCTCGGCCCAGTCGACGGTGGTCCTGGCGTTGCCGCGGCGGAGCGCGGCGAGCAGCACGTCGGACTCGAACTCCCACAGCGGGAACGGGTCGGCCGGGTCGAAGAACTTGCCGAACAGGAACGGGCTGAACAGGGACCCGTCCGCGAACACGGCCCTCGCCGCGGCGTCGGCGCCGGCGCCCTGCTGGAACCCGCTGAACGTGTTCTCCAGCAGCGACATGCGCCACCTGGGCGCCGCCGCGTCGCCGCCGCCGCCGCCTGGCAGCAGCCGACCTCGATCGCCCGCCGCCCTGGCATGGCTGCTCAGGCTGTCGCGGGGAAAGCGCGCCTGCGGGGAGCTGATGGTTTATAGGAGTGACGGCGCTGCGGTGGAGCTGGCCTTTGGGGAAAGCAGAGGATGGGAGGCGCGATTCCGTTTGCCATTCGCTGGCTATGCCATCTGATGTGATTCCCGCCTTTTTCTTATTTTCCCCTCATATATACCGGCCTGGCCCATTTGCATTTCCTTATCAGTTTCTTACTGTCTTACATTTCCTTTACAAAATTGTCTATCTAAAAATAAACATTTGCTTTACAAAATGGAATTGATAAAGCTAAGTTTCTACAGAGTTTTCGGCTAATCATCTTGAACAAATAAAAGGGAGAAGTATGACATAAACTAAATGGAAAAAAACATAAGCTAAGTATATTATTCTTTCGGAATTTCTAAATACTGCCCGATAAGTGGAAAACTGATATTTTCTTGTTCATATTTCATAGCGATGCTAAAATGGGCCGAACAGTGCAAAGGTTGGCCCAAATCATCAAGGTTTTCACGGGGTGGCCCATAAAATTCACACGTCTACCTCCACCCGAGCGGGCCCGAAGTCCGTCAGCAACACGCAAAACCCTAACCCAATCTAGTTTTCCACGTCTCTCTCTCCCGATGGGTCTCTTCTCGTGGTGGAGGGGAGGACGACGCGGCGGCGGCCCGCCGGACCAGCAGGGCCAGCAAGCCTCTGCGGTTTCGGGGGTCGTGGGGACCGAGGTGGCAGCTTCTGGCACCCACGGGGCGGTGGAGGTGCGGCGGCAGCGGCAAGCTGCGGACGCGACGGTGTTCGAATTCGGGTCCGCGGCGGAGTCTGGCGCCGCTCTGACGCTCGCGGGGTACTGCCCCGTCTCCGACGAGCTCGAGCCGTGCCGCTGGGAGCTGGTCCCGGTCGCCGGCGAGGGCGCGCCGCAGTTCCGCATCGTGTTCTGAGCGCGAGACATCTCGGATGGTACCAGGTTTCATCATAGGTATAAAGATGTGATGTTTGGGGTGTACTGGTAACCAAGCATTCAGTGGAAATAAAACTTGAGATATGATTGATGAGTTTTCTGATTAGATATGGATGGTCTTGTATGCTCACTTTTCCTGCTGTTGATTTGATTCTTCTATACTTACAGATGAACTAATTCGCCACTGCAGGCAAACAGTAATGTAACATACCAATTTAGGGCTAAGTGAAATCTGTTTTTTCTGGGGCTTATGGTAAGAGCGCTAAAATTTGTGGATGAGTCATAGCACGATCGAAAAAATTGCAAGATACATGCTCAGTGTACATGAGAGATAGTCCCTTAAAATCACTGTTCTAGCTATGGTGTCATATTATTAGAGCTGGACACTGAAAATCCTACAAGGTACAGGGGACTTATTTGGTGTCATATTATTAGTGTAAGTTGTTTGTTGTTAATTGTGGTGTGCTATTCGTAGAGCTGGTCATAGAGAATCTTGTACGTACTACCAAATTCCTATGTTGAACTGGAAATTTTCTGTTTGGAATGATGAGTGTCTGGGTGTTCACTGGCTGTCTTGGAAAGAACAGAAGTCAGAAGGTACCAAACATCAAAACTATACTTGATTGGTTCTGTGATCAAAATTCAAAGCACCTAACGCACCACCATGTGGCAGGCTTTGCAAGCTTGAACTTATTTGCAGTTATGCAGTCTATATTTTCTTTTGTGCCTTTGGTTTCAGTATATATGTAAGTAGAAAACATTAAACACCCTAAATGCTGATAGTGTCTGTATCAAGTTGATCAATCGTGTTTTTTTATTATGGCTTTCAGGAGTTCACTTGTCCTTGTTTTTGGTTCCAGATTACTAAATCATTTGCTTGGCTCTTGTTAAGTTGGTTCTGTTGAATCAGGAAACAGTTGTCTTGTCACAATTCTCATATTGGCTCTGCATTGCTTGTTGCTATATGAGCTCTGTACCAACTACCAACGCTCCAATAGTACAAGTACAATCTGTCACTACTTTTTAATTTCTGAGAGTGTCCCGAAATACCTCCTGGTGGAATGCAGGAGGGATCAGCAGTGAATTGATTCTACTGGGACGTTGGCTATCCAGAAATTCAATGTTCCTGTACTAGCCGCTTACCAGCACACTTTTGCATTTATGTTTTTTTTTTCACGAGAATTAGAGCTTAATTGGTTGGCTACAATTTGGTTGCCAAACTTGAGCAACACATTTTTTTTTGCCATTTGGTTTGCTACCAAAACTTGCTAAAATCTCACATTTGGCTTGCTTAAGCCACGACAAATATTTTTACCCAACTTTGGATGGCCGAATCTTTGGCATGGCAAATTTTGGTGTTAAATCAAAAAGCCCTTAATAATTGTTTTAAAGGTTCAAATAATCAAATATGTATATGTTCATTTTTATTAATTGCTGTTCGTGAGATAAACTATTATGATATCTTGTCTGCTTACAGATTCCTCTGCACGCGATTGTAGATCTGTGTGATGATGATCTGCTTAATCTATTAACAATGCCAATGATTCGTCGCAGAAAGAACAATAGACTGTGATTACTCATCTGATTACCATTCGTTGCTGACGTTCAATGCAAAATTTTGTTGTATGTTACAGCCATGATCTTGCACGTTGGCGCCAAATAATTGTTTTCCTTGATAATGTGATACGATGCATTTGTTTTACTGTCTTTATTAAAAAAACGACAACAAGGCGGTTAATTAGTCACAGACCATTTCTTGAAGTATGTGTCCTGATAGCGCAAAATCTTGGTAGTTAGCTTTTAGGTTTTCCCGTTGTAACGAAGGGATCAATGAATCAAAGTTCCCGTTGCAACGAAGGGATCGATGAATCAAATGATATTTGCCCTATTCGCTTTTTGTAAGCCCTATTGTTTGTTGTGAGAGAGAAAATATCGTTTGTTGGCTAAAAAAATAGGGATCGATTGTGAAAAAAGTCGGCTTTATAAGCCAAGCGAACAAGATAATTTTGTTCTAATTTCCACTGCATCTCCCTCTCAATCTAACTTTTTTTATCGTAATGTGCCGCTTCTTCTCCATCTGAGTCAAACTCTTTTTTTATTCGTAATGTGTTGTTTCTATTATCACCAAGTGTATGGTTTTATTAATGAGTCAATTCTCTGCATGCTGCTTGGCTGATGGTTTTTGTAGTTGATAAGTCGACTGATGTTGTTTTCTTTTTGTTGAGGGTGGCGTTGAGGGTGGCCGGCGCGGCCTCGGAGGTAGCAACGTGAGCGTCCGAGGTGGCGAGCAAGTGCGTACCAGAGATGGAAGAGCAGGTAGGCACTGAGAGAGAGAGAAGACAGGTGAGGCGACCAAGGATAAAATGGTCACTTTTGTAAAAATCTGGCTGGTATATAGGGATAACGGCACTAATGCTTACAAAATCAACGGTAGTGGCACCTGGAGAAGAAAAAAAATCGTTTTGATGGCATGGATTGACACATGAAGTTTTTCAATGGTCCATAAAGAAGTTTTGTAAGCTTCAGTGCTCACACGGAATTATCTCTTTATTACACCGGCGTCCGGACGTAGAACCGTTCGAAATAATACGTTTTCAGAGGCGCTCGTCATCCACTAGACACTAAGCACCCCGAAAGTTAGTTACATCGACAGTTCCGTCGAGCCCACCCCAAGGAAGAACTTAAAACAATCCATATTTTACCGTCAGGACCCAAAAATGAGTATGAGCTTACAACACTTAATCTATTTCATACAACAAGAGTTTTTGAAAATTATTTATTATAATACCAGAGTTTAGAGTGCGGTAATTAAACAGCGGAATGGAAATAAACATCTAACGGAAACGATACAAGGATCCGCTGTTGCCCACCAGAAGAATCATCCACACAAGAGCTACTCCTCAAGTTGCAACTGCAATAGGGGTAAAATAAACCTTGAGTACACAATGCACTCGCAAGACTTACCCAACTAATGAGAATAGTTTTTCGACTCCAAGAAGTATGATATACAATATGATTTTGTTGTTTTCTTTTTGTTTGTGAAAAGCATTACTAATAGTTCGCCCTTACAGTCATGTTTTATTAGCAGTCATGATTACTTCATTAGCGAACCATTCTAGGCAAGCACCTATTCTACTTTCAAGCAATGGTTAAGCAATCAGAACCATGTCACCATCTTTCATCTTCTAGTTTTTACTACGGTGCTAGATCATAGCCAAGTCGTACCGTCTCACGGAAACAGCGATTCGCGAACCAATGTATCCCAGCTGGGTATCCCGAAACACACACCCCGTTTATACCCTAGGCACAAACAAGACCAACCTATTTCACTCCTCTCACGGGGTCTAGGTTCTCATCTAAACTTGGACTCCAAACCCCCACACTTGAGACCCGATCTTAGTATGGTGCTTAGACCTCCACATGTCCCCTCCTCCAATCAGTTTGTCCGAAAAGAGCCGAAACCCATGACAAGAGCGTAACGAGCCTTCCCACTCCTATAAGCAAGTATGTGCTTAGGATAATAAATCTGTGACCTCACTACCATCTACAACAACGGATTGTCCTTAATCGATACGAACAGGAGAAAACAATGTAACCAAGCTAAGCACCGATGGCCGCGGGACACAACCTGTTACACCCACCAATACCCAAACCATATCCTTGTCCTGTCTCTATTTTCTTTTCATCATTTTATCATGAGAGTAATTATAATCACCTATTGTGAGTAACGGCAAGTTACTTACGCTACCGAAAGCCTAAGCATAGCAGCTACTCAAACCTGCACTAGTAGGACTCATAGGACAATTATATCTATGTATGTGGTTTCCATAACATTCCTATAATATAAATGCACATAATATATAAAAATAATGATTATAAAAATAAGGGTTATATATCGAGGCTTGCCTTGGGCAGGCGTGGTGTCAGCTAAGTCAGTCAGTGAAGGCTCCGAGACCTCTTCCTACACGAAAATCTCTCCTCGTACTCCTCGATGATCTCCTCAAACTTATGATCGCCGGTGGTCACCATTTTCGCCAACTCGTTCTCTACATGCATGCGATGATGATGCAACACTTAGCATTTATGCAATAACAACTCTTAAAATAAGAATATGCATACTATGCTACTAAGCTAGCTCTAATGACTAAGATACTAAGCTAACTATCATCTTTACCAAGCAAAGTGTTGGGTTCAACTAACAAACACCTAGCTTTACAAATGGAGAATATATCTTTATTTCTACTAATGATTTAATGTATATTTGAAACAAAGAGCATTTAACTACCATAATACTTAGTCTATTCTAGAGCTATAAAAATGACAGAGAGCACATAATAATACAATAAAGCTACCATAAAAATTTTAGGACTAAAGCTATCACCAATTTACCACAAAAATTACTACAATATTTAACCTAATAATATTAAGCACTCTCAAATGATTTAATAGCTCATTGTATCAACATATATATATGAACTAAATACACTAATAGATAGAACACAATTTTAGGAACCTAACAAAATTTGTTTCATAATTTTTGGACATATACATGATTTTATATGATTTACCAAAGATCAACTCTAAATTAAATTAGAGAACTATTTCTAATTCCTTATGAAAAAAACAAATTCTCCCGCGTGGCCCACAGCGCGGCCCACGCGGCGCAGCGCGCGCGAGAGCGTGCGGCGGCCCACGGTGCAACCCACACAGAGACGGCCTACGGCGAGGAAATCCTGCGCGTTGACGTTTTTGCAAAATAAACCTCGCACTTCTCCCGAATTACAACTAAATACTAACACTATTTCCCCCTCTCTCAAACTTCTCACTTAACCCCCTGATTTTCCCTAATTCACACACGCGTACCCCCGGTGACTCATTGCACGGCGGCGCAGCGAGCGGCGGCACTAGATGCCTGCGCGCGGCCACCTGGGACCCACGCGGGCCCACCTAATGGGTCGATCACCATCCTTTGACCCGAGCGGCTAAGCTAAGCGGTGGTGAGGGGTGGCGAGACACGCTGGAGCGAGCTACAGCGACGCGCGACCGTCCGCTATGGCGACACAGCTGCCCCAGCGATATAGAACACCTAAGAACCTTAGTGGCTAGCGATAGAGCATCAGTAGACTACCGTGGACCTAGCCGAAGTGACAGTTGGGGTGGTGGATGGCGGAGAAGGGTTGACCACGTGCGGTCGAGCCATGCGGCGGCGCACCGCGGCGGCACGGTCGCGTCAGTGATGACGGGGAGGTGGTAGCGGTTCGGCTAAGGCACGCAGGGTGGAGAGGGAGACAAGGTGAAGCTAATGGTGCAAGTGAATTGGCTCGGGAGGGACGGTAGGAGGGCTGCCCACATCCACGGCCGAACACGGCCTCATCGGCATGACGGTAGAAGAAACTCCAAATTGGGGCTTGGCGGGCATGGTTCAAGGCTAGGTAGTGTCAGGCAGCGAGAGGACCTGATGGTGAAGCCATGGATACGATGAATTGAATGGAGGTGATCGTTCGTTGGGCAAATTGGATGGTGCGGCTCGTGGCGACGGCAGAGGGAGAAAGAGAGAGAGAGAGAGAGAGAGAGAGGGGCACGACAGGTGGGCTCGGCTCGTCCTCGCCTTGGCGGGATGCGGTCAGCGTGAACATGGAGGCACGCGCGTCCCCGACTAGCATGGCCCGCGTGGCCGCAGTGTCTTAAATGACAAGGTGATGGCGAGCTGGGCCACGTGCGCACGGCAGTGGTGGCCTCGAACTGGGCTGGCAGCGGCGCAGATGGTACAACAAACAGGCGTGGACGCAACGATGATGTGATGACAGCGGTAGCGTCGTTGTGCGAGGCGGGTTGGCAGCACGGTGAGGCAGCAGTGCGCGGATGCGACGGCGAGGTGATAGCACCGATAGTGGCTTCGTCGTGGCGTGGGGCGGGTGGCAGCAGCTCTGCACGACGGGGCCAGCGGCAGCCGGTCCATAGCCAGGCCGGAGGCAGCCACGGCCGACCACGCGCGGCAGCGCACGCATGCATGACCAATGCGGCGACGCTAAGCGCCCGAGCGTGGTGACCGCGCCCACGTGGCTAACCAGCCCCGAGACCGAGTCGTGCACGAATTTTAAAGCGCCCAAAACAACTAAACGGTTGCTTCAAGAGCCAAACCATCTTCACTATGCTCAATATGGCATATGAGACTACCACATCGAGCTATAATACTACACCACCCTTTAACTCAATCTCTCCAAATAATTTGCTAAACATAGCAATATCTAGCTGTTGACAGACTTGAAAATTTTCTAAGTTTTTGAGCTGAATTTGATTTCAATTTGTAATTTCTCGGCTAGTAGAAATACTAGCTAGTAATATTATTTTTAACAACAAGTATTTCACTGCCATCTATAAAATTTGTACTTCAAACTTTATTTAAGTATCAAACACATGTTCTATAGTTTTTTCGCTTAATAAAAATTAGTTTTAAACCCTACTTGATATACATGAACTATTGAATCAACTTTCGTTTAACATTTTTATTAGTCATTTTAAGTTACAAGAAATTTATTTACACATTCTATCACATGCATTAACACATAAACATGATGCTCATGACATGTTTTAGTAAATGATTTAGGGTGTAACACCGAGGGTGTTAAAGTTCGCCCCGCCTACTCCTGCTCATGCTTTGTCGCCCACCCCGCTGCTCCTGCAGCTGCTCTTGTTCCTACTCCGCGCGCCCGCCTCGCCGCTCCTGCTAAGCCGCACGCCCCACCCCATGATGCCGATAGGTGCCGCCAGCACAAGGAGAAGTGCCGGGGCCTAGCGCGGAAGCCCTCCTGCCTCACTTCCCGCTACGGCTGCGGCACAATGCAGACCACGGAGGAGGCCACATCGGGATACTACGCATGATGCAAGCTAACATTTCAAATGTTTTAGATGTTTTAGAGGTATATGTTGCAAGTGTTTCATGATGATGTTGCAGAAGTAGATGTGGATGTTGCATATGTTGTAATGGTTGTACATGTATGTTGCAAGTGTCCATCTCCAATGTTTCATCCGTTTTTCAGACATACGTTGCAAATGTGTTTGTTTGGATGCTGCATATGTTTCACACATATGCTGCAAGTGTTTTATCTGGATGTTGCGTATGATTGCAATAGTTTTAAGTGTTTTTGCCTCATGTTTCAAGTGTTTCATCCGTCTTTCTGGTATGTTGCAAATGTTGCATCTAGATGTTTTAAAAGTAGATTGGGTGTTTGTAAATGGGATGCACGTGAAAAGAGGGGCGCGAGCGGTTCCCATGCGAGCGCGTGGCGCAGGCGACGTTCTGGCGTCGTGGGCCCCCGTGTGGCCCTGCAAGGCGTTGGAGCGCCGATTTTTTTTTATTTTTAGCCCTTATTTGAAAATATTCACAAATAGACCCCTGGTGGTTTCATTTTCGTTTATGGACCCTGACCTCGGCGCCATGGCTTTTGGCATCGAGGAAACACGTCTCGGCGCTATGGACAATGGCACCGAGGTCTTTACGAGGCGTCGGACGTGGTGGTGACCTGGCGTCGACGTGGACAAGGCCTCGGTGCCATTGGCCCTGAGCTCGGCGCCGTAGATCTTGACGCCGAGCTGTTACCCTATAGATGTCGGTGTTTGGAATGAAACAAGGATAATTATTCCTAGGAATACGCAACAACGTTATGTGGTTCATTAGTTAAGACGCGCGACTTAGCTCAAGGGCCTGGGTTCAAACCCCATTGCTGAATCTTTTTTCTCTTATAAAATTAACTCGATTTTCAACCCTTTTGATATATCCTATCGAACTGCCCCCAGCAAAAACCAAAATTCTTACTCAACAAATTATTTATTTAGGACGCGCGCTATAGTGCGATGGACAGAAAGATGCATCCACCGTGTGGAGCAGGACAAATCGAGATGCTTGCCGTGTCTTCTAGGGTTAAATGAGGTTCGGTGTTGTTGTTATTATTAATCTGTTTCATTCACAGACGATGTGGTTTGTAGATCAAAGGGTTAATGATGCAAGTCTCGGTGCAAATTGCAACCTGAGTGAGATCCATGCCCCCACATTTCCTACTACTCCTAGCTACTAGTACTAGTAGCAATGAAAGGCAGCATGGTGCCAAGAGAAAGCAAACAAGAACACGGGTTTTAGCTAGTCAGTGAATAAAAAAGTTGCTACACTGACACTGGTGTCCGGCATGATTACTTTACCCATTGCTGTAAACCTGTAACCATATTTTTTTCTTTCTTTCCGTGTTAAAAAGATCACCAGTACTCCGTACATATTACACAGTGCATGAGATAATAAGGAGATTTTGCGTGGAATGGGGATATTATCAGGACGGTCTAGATATATATGATATGAAGGACTGGCCCATGTGGCACGGCTCCGAAATCTCCAGCTAGCTCGTCGTCCTTTCCGAAACTAATCATATTTTCGCACAGTACACCACATTTACGTAAATTTATTTATGCCGCTCACGGTCGACTTGAGTTCACACGGATGATATATCGTTTTCGGTGTGGCGGTGGTGTGTCCACATGCTGGTTCACATGCGTATGTCGATGCATGTCTGAGAGAACGTAGTTTTAACCGGCCTCAGAAAAGAGCGTTTGATATACCATACCTCTCACTGCTTAAGCAAATGGCAGGAACATACAACAGGGAAGAAAAGAATGTGATCACACCAAAACAAAAGTCTCCTTAACCTAAATAAATAATTTGTTCTATAAGAATTTTGGTTTTTGCTAGGGGCAGTTCAATACGATATATCAAAAGTGCTGGAAATCGAGTTAATTTTATAAGAAAAAAAGATTTAGACCAAGGTTTGAACCAGGCTCTTAGGCTAAGTCGCGTGCGTCCTAACCAGTCGAACCACAATGACATGGTTGCATGTTCATCGGAACAATTATACTTGTTTCATTTCAAACGCCAAGATCTATAGGGTAACAGCTCGGCGCCAAGATCTACGACGCCAAGGCCTTGTCCACGTCGGCGCCTGGTCACCGCTACGTCCGACGCCTCGCCAAAACCTCGGCGTCATTGTCCATGGCGCCGAGACGTGTTTCCTCGGCGCCAAAAGCCATGGCGCCGAGGTCAAAATCCGTAAATGAAAATAAAACCATCAGGGGTCTATTTGTAAATAATTTTTAAAAAAGGGCTGAAAAATAAAAAAATTGGCGGACGGCGTGACCCCCGTTTGGATGCGCAAAAACGGACTGCAGTCATGGGCGTCCGTCCGGGCGCTAGTGGTGCCAGTTATTAATCCTACTGTATAAAAAAATAAATTGAGAAAATGTAAATAGATTGACAAAATCTAAAAGGGCTGAAGTCACGACGCATCATTTTTATATCGAGCACGCTGGCCACGTTGATGTTAACTAGTCACCGTCTGATTGCCAAGTCATATCGTCATAGCGCGGACGGAGAAATATATGATTGCTTGCATGATTGACACTCATCTACGCCTTCACAAAACGCTTGGCATCGAGCCTAGCAAGTAGCAATTCCGACTCGTTCCAATTCGTTTGCGAAAGAAGTCGAGCCTGCCACGCAGAATCAATGGCCGCGCCCGAGTCCAGCAAGAAGCTGCGCATCCTTCTCGTGCCCTTCTTCGCCACCAGTCACATCGGCCCGTTCACCGACCTCGCCGTCCGCCTCGCCACAGCCAGCCCGGACGCCGTCGAGCTCACTCTCGCTGTCACCCCGGCGAACGTCCACGTGGTTCGCTCGGCCCTCGGGCGGCACGGCGCCGAGGCGAGCGGCGCGGTCAAGATCGCCACCTACCCGTTCCCGCGCGTGGACGGCCTCGCCCCGGGCGTGGAGAACCTCTCGGCCGCCGGGGACGACGGGTGGCGCATTGATGCCGTCGCCGTCGACGAGGCCCTGACGCGACCGGCGCAGGAGGCGCTCATCAGGGAACAGTCCCCTGACGCCGTGATCACCGACGTCCACTTCGTCACCTGGAACAACACCGTGGCCGCCGAACTCGGCGTGCCGTGCGTTATGTTCAGCGTCGTTGGCATCTTCTCGACGCTCGTCATGTACCACCTCGGCCGTGCCGCCGCCGTCGTCAGAGATGGTCAGGAGGTGATCGTCCCAGGGTTGCCGGCGCCGGAGATACGGATCCCCGCATCCGAGTTGCCGGAGTTCCTGAGACGCCAACCGGAGCACGACGGGCTCAGGCAGTGCCATGTGGCGATGGGCAGGTGCTTCGGCGTCGCCCTCAACTCGTTCGTGGATCTGGAGCAGCCATACTGCGACATGTGCGTGCGCAGCGGATTCCTCAAGCGCGCCTACTTCATCGGGCCCCTCTCGCTGCAGTTACCACCGGCCGGAGCAAGCACCAGCGATTCGCCATGCATCGAGTGGCTCGGCGCGAAGCCGAGGTTTTCAGTGGTGTACGTATGCTTCGGCACCTTCGCTGCCATCTCGGAGGAGCAGCTCCGGGAGCTGGCGCTTGGGCTAGAAGCCTCGGGGAAACCATTCCTGTGGGTGGTGAGGGCCAGCGGCTGGACGCCGCCGGAGGGCTGGGAGGAGCGCGTCGGGGAGAGGGGGATGCTGGTGAGAGGGTGGGCGCCGCAGACGGCGATACTGGCACATCCAGCGGTCGGCGCGTTCCTGACGCACTGCGGGTCCAGCTCGCTGCTGGAGGCGGCGGCGGCAGGCGTGCCGATGCTGACGTGGCCGCTGGTGTTCGACCAGTTCATCGAGGAGAGGCTGGTGACGGAGGTCCTCAAGATCGGGGAGAGGGTGTGGAGCGGGCCGCGGAGCACGAGATACGAGGAGCAGACGGTCGTGCCAGCAGAGGCGGTGGCGCGAGCGGTGGCAAGGTTCTTGGAACCGGGCGGCACCGGCGATGCGGCGAGGAGCAGGGCGGGGGTGCTCGCCGCGAAGGCACGCTCGGCTGTGGCGGAGGGCGGCTCGTCATTTTGTGATCTGCGCCGTCTCATCGATGACCTGATCGAAGCACGAACGGCTGCCGGGACCCACGCCTGAGACCAATGCAGACCTCGAGTACGTGTGGTCGTGTGGAATTGCTGGATGTGTTTTCCTTCGAGTTATTTCAGGTGTTCGTCGCTCCTTTAAATTTGCTGTCGATGGAATAACAAAGTTGACTCCTGTTTGTTTTAATACGTCACTCATTTTTTCATCACTGCATCTCTACTCCTTAACCTTCAATGGCTGCAAGGTTCATTTTTCGATGGCTGCATCAGGCCCATGTGTCAGTTGCAGAGTCAATCTGCATAGAGGATCCACGCCCGTTCAAATGGGATTTTGTTCTCATAAATAAAAGTACCATGTAAGTAAAGTTAATGACATGATACTAGAGTTCTCAAGAGAGATGAAGATGCTTTAGCTAGATGAAACTAGATGCACAATTTTTCTAAGATTTAAGAAGCCGTTTTCATATCAATTGGGGACGAACATTTTCAATAGATGGGATGACACAATCTCGTGTCAGGCGTCAAATGCTCTTACCAGTCTATGAAACAAAATGACACTATGCATTGGGTAGAGTTATTCCATGCATCAACTTAAGCACTCTAAATGGTATAGTACTCTTGGAAACAACAACATAAAAACTTCCTTTGACCTACACTGTATGTCTCGTCCTAACCCGTTCTTGGTCTACCTCATGTCGTTGTGGCACAAGATTTTTCGCGATCTCATTCATCATGACACTAACCCAATCTTCATTGGTCGTAACTGAGTTGCATTAATTTGCATTGAACCTTTGCTATTTCACTAGTGGCTTCACCACCCCATCCTCCAAGGCTCCAACACTAGGGAAGGCATTGTTCCTAGCATTCCCTCTAAGCTAGTGGTGCTACAATTTCTTATTGGGGGTTGGGTGGGGCATTCAACCTCGATACCCTTTAGCTAAGTTCATTAGACCCTATTTCAATCCATTAATAGATAAATACTAGCACTAGCATGAGTTATTCGACCTCCAACAATCCATTTTACTAAGGTAGTCGCTGCTCTAATCCTACATATCAGAAGAGGCTCAGCCAAAACCTATGAAAATGTTGCATATTAGTCCTTTTTAAAAACTTATTTTATAGATAGACCTTCCGCAAAACTTTTTTGGAAAATAGACCCAATTCTCAGCATACAATGACACTACGCCAAGATATGTGGCTCAGTGCCCTACGATTGAACGCTAAACTTGCCATGTAAATGCCAACGTGTCAGTCCGGCTGAAGCTTGTTGTTTAATCAGTTAATGCCTAGGTTAGCTACGTCAGCGCTTAACGAGTTAACGCCAAAGGTGCAACACCTACAGTACAAGCTAATAGCCCAATGCAAATGCATGTACTTGTCCATTCAATATATTTTGAAGATCCATAAAAAAAATATAAACCCCCTTGACATGAGATTAATTCCACTAAAACCATAATATTACCCTCCGCGGGACAAAAATACATGGATTGATAAAATGTTTGCCATAATTTTTACAAATAATTATAAGTCGTTTTGACTTTTTGGTACATAGAAGCTTGCACAAAAATAAAAATCCTACGGCGTGAGATGGCTGCTAGAATAATAGAATAACTTAATGAGAATTATAGGTTGAAATGCCCTCTTCTCTCCCTTCAAATAAACCTGCATGCACAGTAAGCTTTGATTTTAGATCATTTTTTTACAAAAATAGTTTGCCAGTGATCCAAATAGAAGTACTTACTGTTATGAAGTCATGAAAATGAAACCTTCATTATCCGTAGACGTCACGGCGAGGACGTGGCGGGGCAGCTGCTGACTGCTGTCCTCTTCGAGCTATCTGGGCCACTGTGCCATGTTCCCACTGAATTTTTTCCTCGCCACTGCATTATCTCCCATTCGCTTGGTTGATAAGTCATGACTAAAAGTATTGTTGACTGATTTATTATAAAAAAAAATACGATTCGTTAACTGAAAAAATACGGTTTATATGTCACGCGAACGGGGCATGAATACACCAACGACCAACCCAGCCTGCCTCTCTGCCCCGCCCCCGCGCCATGTAGATAACTAGTCCATTACGCGCGCCATCGTGCGCGCCGGCAAATCATATGGTTAAGACATAGGTAAAAGACATGTTTAATCTTTGCATGGAAATAATATTAGAAGTTTAATGTAGATATGTCATACACAAAAACCGAAAGATTTGAGCTTTTTTATATGGTGCAGGAGACATCTACTATGCCTAAATTGGCACAGATAGTTTATGAGAGCTAAATCCAAAACATTTTTTTACTCTATAAAGCGGGTATTCAGGAAACTCCGAGTAATATTGAAGCCTAATAAGGAGCACACTGTAGGCAAGCTAACAGCGGAGACTATGAACACAATAGAACTGCCTCTATGTTCGCTAACCTTGATAAGGCTCAAAGAAGCCGACATTGTCATATTGTTGTTTGGTGGGCCGGTTGTACTCTTGCTGAGATCTGTCCAAAACCGCAATGGCACTATCTCTGCACACAATCAAGAACCCATTTGTAAGATAGATGGCAGTTCGGCCATAGAAAATAAGAGCACAGGAAAAAGGCATCTGAACTACGAACACCTGATTTGGGCGCCATATATTATTTTGCTAAGTATCTATTAACTGCAGAGATATGGCAAGAAAGGTAGGCTATCTTCCACATTCAGAAGCTCCAAATTATTTGATTCTTCTAATATTTGCTTCATCTTGCTATGTCGAGGCACCAAACATACATAAAGCAGGGTATGGGCCCGATATTGCAGATCCTAAGACAGGTAGGATTTCTATTTTCTTTTACCTATCTGTCTTCCTTGCTGCAGGTAGCTACATTTTTCTTAGCAGCCTGGCAACAAAACTACCTGCAGCATGTTATGAACTACAAAAGAGGTGGTCAGTAATATGTCTACATCGACAAATGAAATTTCCCTCACACTCCATGATAACTCCAAAACTTTTTTTTTACCGGCAACAACTGTCGTCATATATGAAAAGTACAGGGCACCGAGCCATTCCAAAAGTTCAGCAAAAGATAAATAAGATGAAAAAGGAAAATTGACACACCGCACAATTAGGAGGAAATAAGCAGCATTAGTTGGGAACATGAGGAATATGTTGTGGCCAAACAACAATAAAAGAATAGGAACTACAAATCAAGGACCGAAATCTAGTTCAAATACCAAAAAGAAATATAGATGACTAAATCTCTCCAAAGTCGGTTGAGAAACCTATTTCCCAATGTTGGTCAAAATCCTAAGAGGTAGGATTAGAACCCAAAAAGCGGCTATTTTAGTATACAACCTCTCCAAGCCATCATGTGGCCACTGGTGGTCGCTTTGTATTCCAGGTAAACCAAACACACATATAATTCCATAAAGGGAAAAGAGGTGGAGAAACCTACCGTTTTTTCATGACCACTAAATTTTTACTATCACTTCTTCAGTACCAAGATTTTTGCCGTCAATTATTGTTATATGAGATTGTAGGCAACTGATAAAAGTCAAAGGCATGGAGAAGCCTACATGAACAAACGAAATTTCCATCACCGTCCATGCTCCAAGCCTTTTCACTGAAAATCAGTACAAGCTAGCATCATGTATCAAGTCTACAAATTTGTGAGGTACATAGACGAACTGTGTCAATAACAAAACTGAATCAAAGATAACGAAATAAACACCACCGCGGCTGCACTTCGGTCGTTCTCTGCACCGCACTTGCACATATGGTAAGTAGTAATCGGTATAAACTCTGTAGTAAAAGTAATTTAAAAAGGAGATTGACTGTAGGCATAAGCAAAGCTCACCAAGACAATAATGATCTGGCAGGCAAGGAAGCTGGAGTTTCCAGATTAACCTTAATGAACTCTGAATTCTGAAATTATCACAAAGAGAAAACAAAGAGCATTTGTTTGTCTTGCTTAAGCAGAACACTTGATGTGATATTGGTAAACTGAAGGACATTTTAGTACTCAATCTTGATAATTTACATGATCCTAATTAGGCGAGATGGAGAGGAAATCGCAAGGAATGTGAGGGGTGGTACCCTGGGTAGCACAGGAAGCATCTGATGGCAATCCTGGCACACTGCTGCAATAGATAGGGAGAAGATCAATAAAACTGAAATCAACATCCGGAATATACATGGAAGCAGATACTGCAAACCTAAAACTAATCAATGCACCACAGGATCGATCCCTTGGTGCAGTCACCCGCTCCCGGTGAGTCCAGCCACTCGTAAAGCAAAATCATGGAGCAATAAACATTGACAAGGATTCTGAACCTCGATTGACATAAAAAATATAGGAACAACGTGCAGGGAACTGATAGGCTCCAAGAAGAACAGACAGAGCATTAAGACTACAACCCGCCGCCCACATCAACGAATTCCATGGAACGCGCGATGTCAGATTTGCTGCCGTAGGCCTCCTCAGAAAAAGAAGGCAGGCTGCTCTACCTTGGGTGGGACCCAGATCCGTAACAGGTGAAGGAGAGAAGAACCTGTAATAGGAAGACGGAGGAAGGGCCCGCCGGCGACGGAGGTGGGGAGACGCCGCAGGGAGACGCTCGGGCGATGGCACAAGGAGACGCTCGATTATGAACATTGACAATAATTTATAAGACGCTCGATGATGGCACAAGGAGACGCCCTACCCGCGCGGGTGCGCCGCGCTCGCACCGCATCAGCAACCACCGGTAGCCGCCGGGTCCCGCCTATGCTGGCGCGGCGCCGCGTCGAGGCCGCCCTCGGCTCGTAGTAAAGGTAAAACGAAACGGCGCGAGCGTGGAAATTACCAGGGACGGGAAAGAGGACCAGTGGGGAAGAACAAGGACGGGCCCTGGAACCTTCCGGAGAGGACGCAGCACCGCAGCCGTGCAGCCGGGCAGAGATCGCAGATGACAGAGCAACCTTGAGCCCCAAGGACGCATGGGCGGGCCCCTTTGAGAGAGCGGAGTCGCCGAGGCCGAGATTGGCGGGGGCTCCTTCCCGTGCGAGGCCGTGGAGGAGCGTAGCCGGCGAACGGAGGCCGGCGTAGG